CGTTGCCATGCATAGTATGGTATGTCAACCCAAACGAACACCCAGCAGGGTCCGGACCAGAACAGACCCAGCACACAGTGATGGAAGTAGTGCTGTGGGCCACAAGTAGCAGGAAGGAACCAGACAAGAACACAAAGCTGTGGTGTAAAATCTTATCTAAATTATAGTGAAGGGGTCAATAATCGCTGCACCTTTTACGTCTATGACAACATGTGCTGTGAAAACTCTGCTCTAGAAACTCCTATAGATGAATTTGTTGTCAAAGTTAAACTTCACTCTTTATAAGCAGCTCAGGTTCAAAAGAAGTCAAAGCTATCTACATTTTGCGTGTAGCTTCGTTTCAAGTGAGCTTCAGATTTTTTATTTTTTTTTATCATCGTGTTGGCAAGGAGTGTCAGCACAGGTGCAGAGTAACAACTGTTCATCTGGACAAGTGGAAGTCCAAAGTCGCCTCCGCTCCTGCCCATCCTTAACCCCACCTGGCTGGCTTGTTCCTGGCAGCCGCATGACGACGGCAATTAAAATGAGAACACGATGTTTGTGTGGAGAGGAGGGCGGGAGACTGATAAGACCTGGGCTAAAGCTGTCAGGGCTGACCTTTGACCCTGGACGTCTTCTGAGGAAAAAGAAAATCAGGTGACAGAGTGAGGTGTTTTATACGGTTTGACGTGTTTGATCAACAATGAGCTCATGGTTTGTTGCTTAAATTATAAAATGCCATAATTTTAGTTGATCACTATGATATGATTGACCTATTTTCCAAGAATTATAACCCAGTCACACTTGCTGTTTAGGAATCAGATAGTGGTGAAAGTTGACAACATGTTAGTGACAGAAATGAAGCGTGAAAACAGTCAGTGATGGACAAAATATGGCTTCTCTGTTGCCACAATCTGTGCAGAGCGAATGGGTTTCCAAAACGCCATCAGGCCCAGCTCTGTTCACGGAGTCCGTTGTACAGGCAGAGCACGCGACTGTGTTGACAGTCTGAGCTTGCCGTGTCAGAATCTGATGAATTAGAGTAGAAAACAGCTCCATCTCACGGTAGCAAGGCCTCACACATGACAGCCGCGTTTTATTTTGGGGAATATTGAGAACGCTGAGTCGGTTCCGTTTAAATTTAAAGACCTAAAATTCTTGAAGAAATACACGTTGCTCACTACCAACTAAAATTATTGTATGATGAGAAAGGACAGAGTTATACCTTGTGCTGTAAATTATAATACGCGCAATCTCATGTGATATTGTGCTCAGATTGTGTTGAGGATGACTCAGCTACGTCCAAAGCGCATTTTAGCTCCGCATTTGTCAACTGGATGAAGTTGTAACGTTCAACGTTCTTTATTATCATTCACATCACATGTGGTACATGAGGTGGAACAAAACTGTGTACTCAAGGTCCCTGTTACACGCAAAAATAGCAATAATATAAAAAGAAGAAACAGTATACAAGGATCTAAACAAAATATATGGTGTATTAAATAACAGCCTGAACATGAGGCTGTTGTGAGCATGCACAGATAAAGTGTCCAATGAAAGTGACATTACAGTGATTTTCCTGGTTAGGGATTTAAGTCTTGCAGATGAAGCTGTTCCTCAGTCTAGTGGTACTTAATGTGTTGGCTAATGTTGATTAGCTGTGCAGTTTAAAGTGTGTCTGGAGGACAATGCTTGGCTACCACCACATCAAGTTTGAGCTCAACAGCAGTAAATTGGTTCACTTAAAGCCAATTTTGAGTTTCCTACACTTTGCTGGGGTGGCCATCTTGAAATGGATCGACTTGGATACATGCAATGATTCTCACTTTTATTAAAATGTTGAATAACTCGAGATATTTTGCTAACAATTGACTCACCGTAACGAAGGTTTTAGAAACAGAACGCTTGTGATCAAAGGCCATTGAGGCACATCTCATCTACTACCACACCAAAGCTTAGCTCAGGATTTATAAGACTTCCTCAGTACTGTTTTGTTTGCCAAGGTTGCTTAGCTCTGGCGGCCATCTTGAATTGGGGTGGCTCCAAGCACTAATCCATCGTAGATGTACATCAATTTTGTTTCCTTCTTTCGGCTGCTTCCATCTTCAGGGGTCACCAGTGAACTAACTCACATGGAGATTTGACAAGTACTTCTATGTCAGATGCCCTTCATGACTCAATCAAGCTACCACAGCCCTTTGTGTGGAGCCGAGCTGCCATGGGGCACCTGAGGGAGTAGATGGTGGGAGGCTAAGGGCCTTGCTCGGGATCCAAAGAGGGTGCTTCCCCCTTCCCAGCCACATTTTTTGATGCCGTCTGTTCAAGGAGTTGAACCGGTGACCTTCCGATCACAGGCCCACCTTCTCTAGCCTCTGTGCCACCACTCCGTAGATGTACGATCAGTTTTACAGTATTTAAATGAGAGATATTTTTCTAATACTATGGACACACAGACACAAGCGTTCAGGAGAGTTAAGCTCTTATTGAAAGACTTGACAACACATTTTTGTAACAAAAAACGTTTTATTGGCTTCTCTAATCCGTTCATCATCTCAATAACAGGTACAGTCTGGGAAATCATACCACAAGGGCTCTAGAACAAATAAAAGGAATGGGGGGAGTTTCTGCTACAAAAATTTGGTACTGAGGTGACGAGAGAAAAAAACAACAAAAAAAAAAAAAGCCGTACAAAATGTTTTCATGCATACTGAAAAAAAAAAAAAAAAAGTTTTAGTGTTTTTGTACATTTTTTGTAAACAATATCCTTCTAGCGATATCAAAACACATTATGGCAAGTAACAAAAATAAGGGATATAACGAGAAGAATGAATGTTCTATGAGGCATCTAGAATTCAACACTGCTTGGTGTGGATGTTTTTTTACAGAAAAGAAAATAATACATTTTGCATTCTGACGAGTCTTTTGCTCTATAACTGTAAACACAGGCAGTGTTAAATGATTATACAATATGTCGAACCTATACTACAAATATTTCCACTACATACATAAAACGCGTCCCTGCTTTTTTTTTTCGCTTTAATGATATGAGGTATATTTAGGTCAATCTTTTTGTCTTTTTTCTCCTCCGTCTCACCCATTTTTCTTTCTCTCATTTAAAAGCATAGTGTGTTTGGAGTGAAGTCAGTCAGTCTTTGTTCCATGTGATCTGAGCAGCTTCAAAGTCTCTTGGCTGTGGAGCTCACAGACATGGGGGGGTGGGGGGGTGGGGGGTAATGGCTCACAGGAAATCAACTAAATTAAATATCAACCCTGGCTGCCGGACAGAATGGCTTTAGCCGAGGAAGACAAAGAAGGCCATTGTTTATTCTTGTGAGTGCAGGGCTGCATTTAGGGGCGGGGAGGTGGATTCAACTTTGTTTCTGAACCGTTACTGAAGCCGTTTCTTGTGACTCCTAAAACGGCAAGGGGTTCAAGAAAATCAAAATTAAAAAAATAAATGCGAGTCTGTGAAAATCTGCCTACAAGTTATCTGCTACTGACGACTGACGCTATTGTAAAATAAATAAAAGGGTCGGGATATGCCTCCAACACACCCGTAAGGGTTCCAGCATGTCAGCCCATTTCTCAAAACACTTAAATACAAAGAGGTACTCTCAAGATATTGTATAACAAAATTATGGCAAAATCATCTTTTTACATCACCCGAAAAACCGAAAGGAAAAAATAAAATAAACACGTCCCCCCCCCCCCCCCCCATGTTCTACCTTTTAAAAAAAAAAATTAAATGCCCATGATGCACATCGTCAAACCCATTATCTAACCCAGCCCACCCACCCTCCCATTCACAGTTTTCTCCTCTTAAAAATATTAATCATTAGCATAATAATCACGCATCACATATGCAAATTGAATGGGTTATTGTTTCCAATGAATTGTTTAAAAAAGTGCTTGTTTGATTCCGTTGACACACACACACACACACACACAAAAAAGGAACAGCAAGGAGTGGAGTACAAAAAGTGGTGACTTGTTTAAAAAAAGACAAGTTGTTTCTGCAACAGCATAATGAAAAACTAAAATAAGATCACTGGCTGGCGTTCTGACACAGACAGCTGTAACAGCAATGCAGTGACTTCGTGGGTGGGTTTTGCCTGAGCTGCGTTTTTTTTCTCACAGCCACACCGGCGCACACAGGTGACGGCACGCTCCCACAGGTTTTCATCAACTGACCCCACAGTAATCAGGAGTAATAAAACATCGCCACGTTTAAAAGATGCAGTGAGGGCACAGCGGGCTGAATTCTGCTACAGTTTGTACTGAATCGTGAAGACGTGACTCTCAAAAAGAAGAAACGTGGACGTCTTCGTAACGAGACGACAGTACCTTAATCTCGACAAAGCTACGTGCAGTAGAAACCAAACATTATCGTGTACTGTAAATTTGTTCTAACAAGTAAAAAAAAAATAATAAATTGAAAAAAATAAATCAAAATTCAAAGCTTCGCAGTCTCAAAGTACATCTGTAAAAACTGTGCTAATTGCATCTCATAATACAAAGTCTTATTACACAAATTTGCCTATTTTCCTGAGTTAATATGTTTTTTTGTAACAGACAATATATACTTTTTTGCCATTTGAATTCTGGGCCATTCCCTGCCACAATGTTATTATTACTGAAATCATCAACATTATTCATAATTACTTTACAATGGTTTGATGATTGATAAAACCCAAGGGTTCAGAGAAAAGAAGAAGAAAAAAAAAAACAAGCATGTTCATAGCTACCCTCTAAATGTTTTTAAATTACATTTAAATCTACGGTACGTTCATATCAAAATCACTACTCTTAAAACAAAACATAGGCGACTACATGATAAAAATGAGAATATTTAAAAAAAAAATTGCATTTGAGGCCATAGTAGACCCTCCCTGGTCATTTCTGTATTAATTTAATGGCAGTGTTCATAAAACAAAACTTCGCTACAGGAACAAAATTAGAGCAGGTGAAGGGGCCGTACGGACAGTAGCAAAACAGGCCCCTACAGGCTTCACCTTATCTGACCCTTATCTGAAACTTTGGCTTGTCAGGGTTTTTGATCCCGTACTCACTGGCTCACTGACATCAGCTAACAAGCTTCTATACCCTGAGAATTCTGACACTGGAGTCCGTATTCTGGGTTCGACCTCTGCTCCAGGGTCGCTGCCGTAGCTCAGAGGGGTCCGCCGTCCAGACTTGAACTGGGAGCCAAAGGCTTGGGCAAAGTTCTCGATCTGGTATGTGGTTTCTTTCGGGGGGTTCAGTGGGGACAGGTCTGGGTAGGCGGAGCCGTTGGTAGGTGCAGTGCTCCCTACAGCCTTAGATTGCTGTCCCTTGGAGCCCTCCGTGGCAGTAAGCTCCTGGGGGGGTAGGTTGAAGGTGCCCGGGGAGTGCTGTTTCTCCAACTGTTCGGTAAGCTCCTGAGATGGAGTCAGCTGCTGGTGGCTAGTAGATTCCAGGCTGAGGTGGTAGCCTGCCTGGGAGGGGGATCCAACAAGCATTCCATAGTGGGACTTGGAGGAGGAGGAAGAGGAAGAGGATGAGGGGGCAGCTATGGGAAGTGGAGAGGAAACAGTAGGTGGGTAGCCACAATCTAGTGGAGAAGTGGTGTATGCGTGTTTATCAGAAAACAAGGGCCCTGTGGGACTGGAGCTGCTGGACAGGAGGGGGAAAGGCCCCGTTGGACCAAGGCTGGGGAAGGGTCCACTATGGCTGGTGCGCTCAAGAGCCTGGAGGAGGAACTTGGAGTACTCGCTCATCACAGCGGTCTTGTCACCACCATTGGTGGAATCGTCCTCCAATTCTGGAGTAACCGGAGCTGCTGGTTGGAGGTCTACGTGGTGTGGGTGGTCTGACAGATCGAAAGTCACATCGTGGTGGTGTGTTCCCTCTGGTTTATGGCTATAATGGTCTAGCAGGCTTTGCAGTACCTCATCTGGAATACCTGACTTGTCGTGCTTGAGCTCCAGCGGCGAGTCCAGCATAGCCAGTGTGGGCTCCGGACCTAGGGAACCCTGGATCACAGTGCCGCCCTGGGATGCCATGTGAAGTGAGCTGGCTCCATAGTCATTATTAACTGCATGGAGGTAGCGCCGCTTTTTGACGAACTGCATTGCATCATCATAGTTGCTGCTGGTGTTGGGACCAGGCTTACTGCCCCCAGGTCCCTGGAGTAGACTCATGTTATCAAGTCCAGAGCCCTCCACATGATCCATGGCACCAGGCTTCTGGCCTAAAAGTTTTTGTCCATCAGCACCATCTTCCAGGGAGAGCAGGCCCTTATCAAGCCCTTTGCGTCCAGTTTTTTTAAAGACCAATTTGGGAGCACGCCCTTGCATGACAGGATCAGAGTCTGAGGGATGCTCCATGCTGAAGTCCTGCAGGCCCAAGTCGTGGACCATCCCCCCAGAAGATGAGGTCACTGTTGCTGAGGCGTTCTTCTTTTTCCTGCGTTCACCACCTTCACCATTTTTGGACTTGGACCTCTTGCGTCCAGAGGTGGTAGAGTTTCCCTGAGTGAGTGAATAGCTGCCCTGGCCTAGCTCCGCTCCACTGAGCTCCAGCATGTTTGGATCTAGACCCTTTTTTATGGCTTCTCCACAAGTCCGTTTGTGCTTCAGTAACCGGTCAGTTCTTGAGAAAAACTAAAACAAAAAAAGGGGATAATACATTAGTATACAGTGCATTGAATAACTTGCCAAAAATAACTTGAGTTGTTTTCTCCAAAAAACAAATAAACTAATTAACAACTAAGACTAAGGGCTAAAGCCCCACTAATTTACAACTACTCACATACTGATTACACATAAAGCCTTATAAGTCAGGTTAAAATTTAAACCAGTAAGTATTAAAAAAACTATCCAGTTGAGTGAGAATACAAAACAGAAAAAACAAACAAACTGAAAAGTGCCTACTTGTTGGCAAGTATCACAGCGATACGGCTTCTCTCCACTGTGTGTCCTTTTGTGTCGCTCCATATGGTACTTCTGAATAAAACGCATGTTACATTGGTCACAGCTGAAAGGCTTTTCCCCTGCAACGACAGAAACTCCCATCAGAAATCACATGGCTTAAACAAAGGTTTAAATAAAAACAATATTTCAAGTGTACACATAAAAAACACAACAGCTCAAACTCACCGCTGTGGATTTTCTCATGTCGCTGGAGCAGGTACTTCTGAATGAAGCTCATGTTACACTGACTGCAACGAAAAGGCCTCTCCCCTGTACAGACAATTCATACACCATGTTAAAAAAAAAAACAATGATGCTGAAGAAGCTTGCAAGTTTTGCCAGAGGTTTAGTTTTTTTTTTTTAAGTCAAAATATACTCATCTACATTCCTCAAAATAATAATTCGGAAAAATAAACTAAAATGTCACAGCTAATGTCCACAGATCCACTTACCATTTAAAAGCCTGAAGAACTATTGCTCAAAACTACTTTAAGAAAACCGCAAGGAGGTTTGTAATTACAAAGAAATTAAGTCAAAGACTTTTCTTCTGTACTATATAACATGTTAAGAATTTAGTCACTTCTCCTTTAAAGCCTTTGAGTTTTAGCTAAAAAAAAAAAAAAGAGTGAGGACTTCTCAGCAAAGAGAATGACTAAGATGCCGAGAAAGACATGAGTAACAGTTGAGTCATCACTACATTTAGTGATTGTTTGATTTTAAATAGGATCCCAACATACCAAACACTCACTGCAGCAAAGAGATCATGCTTTTTAGGGGTGCAGATTTTTTTAAAGAATCTAGATTCTTAGTCCTGGCGATTCTGAATCGTTTCTAAAGGTCCATAAATCGATTATAAAATGCATTTAGGTTTTACATTTTTTTCCGCTCCTACTCCCCGTTCAGCCGCCGTAGAATTGGGCCGTGTAGGCCACCGTACAGCAAGCTAGTTAGCCAGCTCCCTTTATCTGAATGGAGCCTGCTAGCATGGAGGAGGGAGACAACACGATTCAACCAGTCTCTTCGTCTTTAAAAATCATTTCAGATCCTACAATGTTCCGGGGGGAAGACAGAGCTTAACAAGAGCACGGTTGTTTACAAGAAGCGTAAAATAAAATTACAGTACAGTATTTTGGAAATACGACAAAATGCGCGGAAGATGAAAACGAAGCAGCCGACCAGCGAACTCTGCAACAAACTTCCAGCTGATTCCACAAAGTCTGCAAATCTTCTTCTCCTGCTGTATCACAAAGGATTTATGAGCAGACAGCTCAGTGGAAGGTGAGGGCTTTAGGTTTATTTTCAATAGTCTGGATCCAACGTACGTTACTCCTTCATGTAGATTTTTTTTTTTTTTTTGCGATAAAGCAGCTCCACAACTTCACCATGAAACAACGGATGGGAGAAGCTCTGATGCAGCTGCAGCTCAAAGGTAATTGTTTTCCTCATATTATACTAAAACTTATAGACAAGTTGTACAACAAACTTTATGCAATTTGTATTTTTAACAGGCTGAAGAGGACAGATGAGACACATCACCTGGAGCCAGTTCTAAATGATACAATTTATGGTTTATAAGACTGTGAAGTCTGTATATTTCATATTAGGTTAAGTTTTGAAAATATAACAAATGTTAGTTCAATATGATTAAAAAAATGGTGACGTCTGTATTTTATGTTGAGTTAAAGGTTAATATACTATGGTAGACTGAAGTCTGTTTACGTTTGTATTTATATATTTTGAATTATTTGTCTGTGATGGACTGGAGACCTGTCCAGGTGTCCCCCACCTCTCACACAGTGATGGCTGATATGGGCACCAGTGACCCCCGTGACTCGAAAAGGAAGAAGTGGATAAAGATGATGGATGGATGGATGAATTATTTGTACTTACGATTTTTATTTTATTTTTTAGAAAAATTCAGGCAACTAAGCTAACCTAATACTGGTAATTTAAGTTACAGAATTTTAAGCACTCCTATATTTTTTTCCTATTTTTGGTATAAATATAAAATGAATCAAAAATATTTGCTACAGTAAGGAACCTAAAATGATTGTTTTAAATAAATGTTCTGTTTACATTGTCGTTTAATCTTTTCAGCTTGTCAGTTACATATACATTATAATTGAAACTAAATTTATGACCATTTCAATAGAAAAATCGTTTATGAATCGAAAATCGTCTATGAATCGAAAAAGCGATTTTGAATCGTATCGTGACAACAAAAATCAGAATTGGATCGCCAGACAAAGAGATTTGCACCCCTAATGCTTTAAACAGTAGAAATGCATAATTAAATTGTGAGTAATGTAGCATTTATTCAGATGCACAGAGAAACAGACTGAGAGAAACTGATCTGCTGCTTTTTAACATTTACTGTCTGTAGCTCACATATTGTTTTACAACATTCATGTGTAGTAATTCTAGGGCTAAAGCCGTGAAAATGTCTCACCTGTGTGTATGAGCACATGTCTACGCAAGTGGTAGGAGCTGCGAAAGGCAGCGTTACAGTGCTCGCAGATATGTGGTTTAGAGTTTGGGGACAGGCAAGCTCCGTCTCCTTCCAACATCATAGCCTAGGAGAAATGTACAAAGTACATTTATGTTAGCCCAAAACAAGCACAGTTCATTTAGATGTAAAGACGAGTTTTCAGTTGAAGACATCTTTAAAATAAGCGATTAACCTTTGCAGCATCGTTGCGTTTCCTTCGAGTTTTGCCTCCTTGCCCATCCCCATTGCTCCTCCGCCCTCTTCTACCCGAGGACTCTTTTGGCTCTTTACCTGGTCTCCCAGGCATCTGAGAGTAAACAGAAATAAATGTACCTCAGTTAAGAGAAAGGCTCCAAATATTACGTTCACAGTAAACAAAGTGTTTAAATATCAATTACAATTTCTGCCTACAGAGGAGAAAAAACAGAAACAAACAAACAAAAAAAACCCATCAAGCTGGGCTAAAATGCACAGTTTTACATATTTAGAACCATAACCCCCCCCATCTCACCGGTTCTCCCAGGGAGCGAATATTGTTGAGGCTGAGGTCATGCAGGAGCATGTTCTGGTGATTTTGGTGCTGGTTGCCGAAAGACATATCTGCCATGTCGGTACCACTTTTCCCTGAGCCCCCTCCAGCACAGTTCAACCCTACTCCACCCCCGCCGTAGAGGGGCATTCTGTAATCCAGTTCACTCAGCCGCTCTTGTTTAATGCCCATGCTGTGAAGGAACCCCCCTGAATTTGCGGCGCCGTGGTGTTCTGGAGGTGAGTCGCGCTCTTTCTTCAGGATCATCTCCTGGGGAAGTTCACCCATAACAGACTGGGAGGCCAGTCGCGTGAAGCTGGTGACTGGAGGCAAGTGGCTGAACATAAGCATGCCTGGTGCAAAATTGGGGTCCATGCCTCCATTGCGCAAAAACTCATTGCCTAACTTGTCTTGGATAATACTCATGGTGGTGGTTTACTTTATGCAGGGGGAGAAGGAGGGCGATCAATCTAATGAGGAATGCAGGAGATCATTCTGAAAGAGAGGACAAATAAAAAAATATTATGTTTATCTCTTAAAAATAACACACACAATTAGGGAATTCTCCCTTAACACCATCACACTATCAAAACAAGGCAAGAGCGTCATCAGTGTAAATTTGATTATTTTCTTAAATCTTATTTGAATTCTTTCTGAGTGACAAAAACTAACGTACGATGTCTAAAAGCCAGGGGTGATCGCTTACATCTTCCATACAAACAGATTTAGTTTATTATTATGAACAACAAAACATAATCAAAAATATTACAAGCAACTAAAACAAGCTTTGAGTAAATTCGGTGTGGATTATTATTATTTTTATTCTACATTTACACCAAGTTCCCAAACTGATTACAAATCTGGGCTGGCTCCTGTATAAGGCACAGACTTTTATATGTCACTGCACACGCACAAACAGATTATTGAACACCGCCCTTTTAAAATAAACACATTACAATGAGAATTACAGTGGGTAATGAAATAATCATTACTTGAAAACAGATTCATTACAAGCGTTAATCTCATATCACGATCAGATAAACAACAAAAAATGGCCTTTATCACCACTGTGGAGTCGAGCCACACTTTCAAACATCAACGCGTGTGCTTTGTGTGTATCCAATTCTATTAAATTCAGTTCATTTATATAAGAAGTCATCTCAGGGCACTGAACAGAATCATTCATACATCTAAAAAGTAAGCTAATTACATTAATTATCCACAATAACAGATTCAAGAAAAGATGTAAACATTGATGTTATTAAAGTAAATGTAGAATTTCAGAGTACGCATTAGAGATTAACACCAGTCATTTACATTATATAGGTGTTAGATGCAATAATTTATGCAAAATGTGACGCTTTCCTATAAATTCTGAAGGAATCGAATAACAATATTTGATCCAAATGTCCCACATTTAGCACCATATGACTTGGCCTGTAGCCAAAACATGAGCTGCAGTGACTTCATAGCATTTCGACATCCCTATTGTTTTTACTTTTGGTCACGCCAAAATGCCACTTCCCCAATAATAAACCTGCAACGAACGCAAAAAGCCAAGATGACTGGGTGAATCATTCGGCTCAGCTCACTTGTCTGAAACAAAACGGAATTTAGGTCAAATCCGGTGAGTCATTTAGGAAATTTTAAGCAGGAGCAGTCTTTAAATGGGACGTGTAACTAAGCACGCAGGGACTGGAAGAGGAGACGAAGCGAGAATGTATTGTTTAGTCTAGACCTGCTGACCATTTGGCTCCGCGACATCGCATTCAGCAAAAAGCGGATGAGCTTTTGTGATGCATAATAGTTAGCCAGCTAGTTAGCATCGTTAGCTAGCCGCAACGAGACACAATCAAAGCATCTTTGCGACCTCAATCAAAACAATCGGTTTAGACTCCCCCCTGAAAAATGTGCTTCTATCTTTCAAAAAGCTACATCCACACGAAAAGTTAAACCAACACAGATAGCCCTTACTATAGTAAAATACCTCTAATTGAAATGGTTAACAGCGTAATGGTTTAGCATGTTACACGCAGATGCTATAGTTAGCTAACGCTAAAATAGGACTCGTGATTTAACGCGATTAGGGCAACTATTTAGAAAATGTTACTAGAAGCCTTTCGTAAAAAAAAAAGATTTACAGTGAGTTCAATGGGAGTATAATTTTAAAAAGCGTGATTAGAACAGAGTAAGCAACGCGTTTACTTTTGAAGTTAGGTCTGCAGCACGTATCGCTCATACTCCAATTCCCCAGCTTTGATGACGCCAGTGAAATCAAATCTGTCTGGATGCGAGCAGCGCTGGCGCTCTATTTATTGATAGCTAACTTTGGCTATAATTACCACCAGATAATGCTTACCAGCAACCAAGTGGCTGGTGAAATATTTACCAAGCAATTAGGCTCGGCGTAGACTTAAATGCACTGACCGAGCGCACTAAAACGCAACGCTAGCGCGAGGCAGCTGTGTTTATAACAATTAAGCTGCCACGAGCTAGCTAGTTAGCCGTTAGCTGCCCCGTGTGAAAACCCGCATTAGGGCCCAGGCAACAGAAACAATGATGCTGGCTCTCCGTCTGCACAGTCGGACAATCGTTCGCGTAAACCTCGACAAAGACCGACGGCTCGGTTCGAGTAAAGCGGGGTTTACTTCTCCACTCACCTACGCATGACCGCAGTTGGCTTTAAACCCGTTTATATCGTCTCCGTCTTGGCCGCTCGGGGGATTTATTGCCAAAACATTGTTCTCCGGCGGTCACTGCTTTCTTCCATGTTGCCCTGGCGCGGGGGATTCTGGGTCCTGCAGCGGACGGGTCGTGAGAGGAGACAGGCGAAGAGCTGCGGAGTGGAAGATTACTGTGCTGCCGTGCAAAAAATGACTGGAAAATGTCAAATTAATTTACATGAGATTATTTTTATACTGCGGTATAAAATATTTTGGCAAAAAAGCTGTTTATGTTACTTTTCACATGAGCAGTCTTAATCTGACATAAGCACTTCTGTTAATGTGGATTGATGCAATTAATTTGTGTTTATACATGCAAAAAGAAAAGTAATCACTTTATTTACCTCATGTTTAGAGCTGGCACAGCAATGATCAATGTCAGCTCTTAATATGCAACATAATATATATTGGGATACATTTTAATTTAATTCTAATGATGTACACAACTAAAAACAACAGAATTTTTTCCACAAGCATTTTATTCCACAAGACAAATATGAACATAAACTGACATTTAAAACAAAGTTTTGGGAAAACAAACATATGCCTTTGCATATAAATATGAATTTACAAAGAATTTATTTGGTTTATTACTAGTTTTTCACTGATTGCAAAAAAAATAAAAAATAAAATAACTTGATGTAGTTTTTAATGAGCAGAAAGCAAGAATGTGTAAATGCAGTTTCGCATTTTATAAAATATTCCCATCTAATAAGTTATAATTCTTGTGTATGTGTGTTGACAATGAGTCAGGAAGATTTTGGAACAAAAACACTAAACAAAAGGTTTTATTTTAGTAAGATTATTATCATTATTTTCACTTGAACATGACTTGAAATGAAAAGCGTTGTTTGAATATTGATTAGAATATAAATTATCAAGAGGATGTGCATCTTACAGAGCAAGACAAACAATTTATAAGAGATTGCACATATCAGATGATGTCATTCCCTGTAATCTGTCCCTGTGTGGCCACAGATCAGTTTTAATCCTGTTACCTCACTGGTGAAAAGTAGAACATATTTACTCAGGTGCTGCTCTTGAGGACAATTTCTTTTCACTTTTAGACATATTTACATTATTATTGTAACCACTGATTTTGTCTCATGGTAAAATTACCATAAAATTGATATTTTAATATTCCTCTTTAAGTGTCTTGTCATATTTATAATATAAATCTGTATTAAAATGGCTCCGCAACAAACAGCAATAATGATAACACACACTGCCACTTTGATGCTCCATATTACTAATAACGTAACTTGTATTACCCAAATACGTTTTTGTTTTGTTACATTTTCTTTTAAATACCATTTTCACTTGTTTAAAAAAAATCTCAATTTGTATGCATCCTTTATGATCGTCTATTCTTGTCTTTGTTATCCACTGTTCTCATCACTCTTTGTTAAAATCAGGTCTCTCTTGTAAATGTGTCCCCGAAGCTCAATGGGATCAACCTGTATAAATAAAGGTTGAATGAATGAATGAACGTTCCTGTATGGGTGCATACTGCATACCTAGTACTTAACAGGTACATATAGTATAAGGTAGCTATGCACCAGGTACTCACTTGTTGGTACGCATCATTACCACCATGCATCTGATACATAAGTATGACCCAGGTACTGAGTACATACCAGTAGGTACTAGTATGTTGCACAAACCTGGTAAAGGTACATACTAAGTACATTCCAGGTATATGGATAGGTACGTACCAAATACCTACAAAATAGAAGGCACCATTATTTTGGCAGGGAGTGGTGGTGCAGAGGTTAGAGAAAGTTTTCATTCATTCAACCTTTATTTATACAAGTTATGTGTCCAGTGACCCTCGGGAACTCGTTTACAAGAGACCTGAATTTTAACAAAGAGTGATGACAACAGTGGACAATGACGACAACAATAGACAATCATAAAGGATGCGTAGAGATGAAGGTGAGCCTGTGATTGGAAGATTGCCGGTTCAACTCCCGGTACCGATATCAAAAACGTAGGTGGGATAGATGAAGCACCCGCACCTGCCTCCCCCTCATTTGCGTCATTCTGGGCCCTTGAGCAAGGCCCTTAAACCCCACCATCTGGTCCTCCGGGCACCCTAGATAACAGTCCTCTGCTCCACACAGAGGGCTGTGGTAGCTTGGCGGGCTGTGGTTGCGTAGAAGGGCATCCGGTGTAAAAATAATTGCCAAGTCTTTGTGCGACTTAGTTCAATGTGGCGACCCCGAGAGAGGGAGCAACCAAAAGAAGAAAAAAAAACAAGAACAAAAAAAAATAAAATAAACCCTTTGGTATACCAGGCACGTAAGTAAGTGCCTGGTATGTAGCCACATTAAATACTAAGTACTTATGTGCCTGGTACATACCAAAGTATTGGTACTTACATACCAGGTACTTACCTGGTATAAGTAGTAAGGGTGCATATCGAGCACTCACCAAGTACATAATGAGTAGGTACTCACCTGGTGCACATCAGGTAATTATCTTGTGGAAGGCACCAGAGTTCACATTAGGTACTTACCTGGTACATACTGAGTACATAACTGGTACTTACTGGGTAGATACTGGGTTTTTATCAGGTATGTACCAGATATGTACTTGGTAGGGATGACTATCAAGCACTAAGCAGATACATAATGATACATACTCAAATTAACCTGGCACATTTTTGTGTGCTAACCTGGTATGTACTGTGTATATAACTTGTAAGGGTGGGAACCTGGTAGGATGTGTATTGAGTAAATGACAAATGGATTATACTTACATAACACATTTCAAAGTCAAAGTTAAAGTTTCTTTATTTGTCATTCGCACCACATGTGTGACGACCGGTCCAAGTTACATCCAACAAAAGTAAACTGTAAAGAAAAACCGTAGTAAGATCTAAGATTTGTACTAAGAAATACGGTAAACTAAGAATGCACTAATAGTACAAAAACAATACGCCGAACAGCAGCAGCACTAACATGAGTCCGTGTGAGCAGATGAGGACGAACGAACAGCAGCATGAAATAAATCAGCAACATAGTCAGCAGCACATATCAAGAAACAAGTGGCATTACAGGGATTTTTTTCCCCACAGTGATTATCCTGGTTAGATATTCATGAGTCTAACAGCTTCAGGGTAGAAGCTGTTCCTCAGTCTAGTGGTTCTACACTTAATGCTCCTCAACCTCCTGCCTGAGGGGAATGGGGCAAAAAGTGTGGGTGCTGGGTGAGTGGAGTCCTTCATGATGCAGGTGGCCCTCTTCCTGCATCTAGCGGTGTAGATGTCTGTGATGGTGGGGAGGCTGACTTTCTATCTTATCAAGACTCAAAGCACTTTACAACACAATCTGTGCCCTCATTTACCCATTCATACAGCACTCTATCTATACAGAGAATAATCAGTGCTTTATCATTCATACACCGTTGGGACACACATTGGAGGCAATGAGGGGTTCAGTGTTTTGCCCAGGGACACTTCAGCATGTGACTGCTGGTGGAATCGAACCCCCAACTCTTGCACTGGGGGACAACTGCTCTAACCAGTCAGCCACAACCACCCATACTTATGTACTTACCAGTACTTAGAACCTGACATACCAGGTACTTACCTGGTACTTATTGGGTGCATACAAGTACCAACATGTACTATGTTAATGTATACCTATTGTTTATTGTAACTGATCTGAATGCCCAATTTACTTCTTCTTCAGCCAAAAAAATAAAAACTTTGTTACTTTCATTTCTTCAATAGATTTTAAGACCAGTTATCCATTTCTTCTCTCTCTTTAATTATACACGTTAGAAACAGATTTTAGATGACTAATAAATGGGGAGGAAACTGAAGAAAAAAAATCCTCTTGCCATCATTACCTGCTTTCATGAGGTATGATGCAACATTTGTTCAACCTTGGTAAAAACTTAAACTGCTCACACTTGGGAGTCGCACAAAATAATGGCCCAGTCGTGTGGCAACAATTAAAAAAACGCACAATCTCATCATTCCAATGATCTCAACTTGCTTTGTCAGTTTATTGGTTTTCCTTCATCATCTCTGAGACAAGAACTTTAGAGAACAGCCTCAGGTTTACTTCCTCTGCAGGAACACCAGGGGGAGTGAACAGCCGTCTGAAGGCAGGCTGCTGGAGTCACTACAGCGCAGGGCTTTGCTGGGGGGCTTATTGGGAAAAATAAAAATAAAATGCAACAAAAGGGAATATGCTGTCTTTCATAATTTAGAGGGTTTTTTTTTCTTTCAATTGATAATTTCTTAACTGATTGATTGGATGAAGGGGAAAAGCCTCAAAGCTCCTCCTGCATGTATACATTTCAGTTATAGAACATCTTTGGGGAAAGGTGCGCACGTGCTGGTGCTGACGTGGATCTGTGCTTTTGTGATTTTGATGTCCCTCACTCAGTGGGGGAGGCTGAAAAGTTCTCCCTCTCTGCGTAAAGCCGCGTGAAGCATTGCGCAGAATCTCTGCTCCTCTAATGACCGAGGCGCGCATCTCTCCATCACCTCAGGATGCGGGTGGCGCGCTCCGCGCTGGTCATGGACGAGCGAAAAGTTGCGCAAAGAGCCTGATCCCGCGCGATCACCGAGCCTTCTGTCTCCGAGCAGGTTCCCCTGACATCATGTCGGCCGTCCGGAGGAAATTCGGCGAGGACCTCCAGGTGGTGGACACCAGCCGGACCGTGACTTTCTCCGCGCCCGTGAAGAGGAAGCGGCAGCGCTTCGTGGAGAAGAACGGCCGCTGCAACGTGCAGCACGGCAACCTGGGCGGGGAGACCAGCAGGTACCTGTCGGACCTCTTCACCACGCTGGTGGACCTCAAGTGGCGCTGGAACCTGCTCATCTTCATCCTCACCTACACCGTGGCGTGGCTCGTGATGGCTTCCATGTGGTGGGTGATCGCGTACATCCGCGGCGACCTGAGCCACGGCGGCCACGACGAGTCCTCCACTCCGTGCGTGGCCAACGTGTACAACTTCCCCTCCGCCTTCCTGTTCTTCATAGAGACCGAGGCGACCATCGGCTACGGCCACCGCTACATCACGGAGAAGTGTCCGGAGGGCATCATCCTGTTCCTCTTCCAGTCGCTGCTGGGCTCCATCGTGGACGCCTTCCTCATCGGCTGCATGTTCATCAAGATGTCGCAGCCCAAGAAGCGCGCGGAGACGCTCATGTTCAGCCAGGACGCGGTGGTGTCGCAGCGGGACGGAAAGTTGTGCCTCATGTTCCGAGTGGGGAACCTGCGGAACAGCCACATGGTGTCCGCGCAGATCAGGTGCAAACTCATCAAGGTAAGACCGACCACACACACACACACACACGCGCGCGCCAAAACTTTAAATTAAATTCACAGGAAGCGCTTTTACGCATGAAAACAATAAGTTGTGTTCTCATTCATTTTCTGTTTACATCCAGAACTGATGGTTCCATCATCAGATAAGGTTTTTATAACTCCCTTCATTTAAAGCTGAATTAACTGCTTTTCTGAACCTCTTTATTTTTTGATAAATCCACCCTCAGTCAGCACAGATGTGTCATGAGGTCAGATTTGTTAAACTGAAGGCCTGCGGGCCAGATACGGCCTGCGTATCTCTTTTATCCGGTCCATGAGAACACACAAACACTGTCCTGGCTTCCTGTCTGGATTGATTTTAAGATTTTATTGCTGGTTTTTAAAGTCTTAAAAGGTCTGTCCTTGTATGTGATCTTCTTAACATCTCTGCTCCAGTCAACCAGTTCTTCGCTCTCAAACGTCCCCAGATCCAAATTGAAGTTCAGAGGCGATCGGGCTTTTGCAATTGCTGCTCCAAAATTGTGGAACAGTTTACTCCTGATCATTTAAATGTGGTGGTACCGAGTGGTTTTCATTAATATTGTTCATAAGGTGCACCAGTTCGTAGATCTTACAAAAATGCTTGGAACATCTGAGACAGGCTTGCAAATTTAGAAAACGGTTTATTAATTTCCATTTTTAGTTATAAATACTTTTTATAAATACTTTCATAAATCAAAAATGTATTTTAAAAGTTATAGTCCAGACTCAGGTGAGTGGTTAATTACCCACGTAACCACAGCGTGAAGAGGAAACCATGTTCCAGAACGAGCTAGTTGTGTAGCTGTGCTGTATTTTATTAACTTTATGTTTTATGAGTGGCACAAAATGTATTTTTTCCCCTATTTTTAATTTAACTTAATTGTAAAGCACTTTGGTCAGTTTTTGTTGTTTTTATATGCTATAGAAATAAACTGACGTTGACATGAGATAATATTTAAAATGTTTTCGGACTCAATACAGTGAGTGTTATTATGGTCTGCTGCTGAAGGCAAACGTTTGCTTTTTGTTTGTGTGATGATTTGTGTTAGCAGAAAATCTCATAAACCAGTGGACAGAAAGAAATCGATGGAGGTGCGTCAATGCTCAATCTCCTTATAAAAATGAAAAATGGTTATAATTCATTTTATTTTGCGGACACTGTGCTAAAATGTGGCGCAACACCAATCCCCTCCTCTGAGGACTAATGGTCACACAACTGGTTTTATTTTTTTTTTGGATCCAAATGCTTTTATTTCAGCAAAATATCTGGATGAATTTTAATGACACTTTACCGCAGTGATCGCGTAATGTACATTTACAGATAATTCACTTTTCCACTTTACCCAATTCAACATGGCCATCACAGATTATTTTTTTTTTCAAATCAACTAAATATTTTTAGCTGATTTGATGGACTGTGATAAAATGTGTTAAGAAATATTTAAAGGCACAAATGACAATGATGTATATCTCTTAAATTTGATTGTAATTTTTAGGGATGCACAATATTGGATTTTTGGCCGATATCCGATATGTCGATATGTTAAACCTTTTTTGGCCGATAACCGATACCAATATTTTTTACTAGGCCACAGAGGCTACATAGCTTTCTCTGCTGTGGAATTAAAATACATTATTCTTCATGGTCTTTGTCAAATTGTCCTGCTACCAAATACAGATGCCAAAAAGTGGACTGAAAATGATGCAACACTTCAACTTGGATTATGTTTAATGTCAAATTTATTCATGACATTTACTCTCTCTAACACAATGACAACACTCAAACAGTGTAAACTTGTACTTTTCACACATCTAAACTCAACCTGTTCACAAGCGACAAGTGAAAAGCGCATAAGTAGTAGTACATTAATAGATATACTTGACATATTCTTAAATTAAAAATTAACTTAAGCCTTTTACATTAGTGAGTGTTTTGGATGGAATGTCCGATATTTAACTGTATCGCTAATATCGGCCGATACTGATACCATGCCGATAATATCGCGCATCCCTATAATTTTTTTTTAATCAATAAGCTAAATTTGATATTCTATATGAAATGTCATTGAGAAATCTTGGTTCTGTATGAATAATTTGACATATTACATCTGAAATGCCTAATTTGTATCGTTTCTCACTAAATACTGACGGAGATTGTCCCACATGTAAGACCAAATTTTTAATTTTGCTGTGAAAGTAAAGTTTGACACCTCGACTTTAGGTCAACCTTAACCTCAAGTGTCCCAACACAAATGGGCATAAAAAAAAAAAAAAAACACTTAAAAATAAGCGATTAAAAGATAGATGAAACCCATTTCTATACTTTCTGGGTGGGCCTCATTGATTGCGATTCTCGAGGCCACTCTTTCCCGAGCATTAAAAAGGCTCCAGCTCTGAAGCACTGAGTTGACAGTGAGCACGCTGTATTTTATTTAAAAAAAAAAAAAAAAAAAAAAAAAAAATCTGAAAATGGTGTCAGCGTTGACAAAAGGCAGACGATGAAAGCAGCAGCAGCAGCGACAGAAGGGAGGAGGAACGCACGTGTCAAACCTCACAACTAAAATAGAGTAGAACTTCAATACTAAACTGTTTTTTTTAAAATTTATTATTATTATTTCCCACTAAGGATAAGGGTTTCTCAGTTTCTCAAACATATTTTTATGCTCCGTTCTGAAAAAAACGAGGCCTGCGTGGAATTATTTCACCGAGGCACTTCACTATAACTTGATGTCCGAAGGGCAGCTTTACTTATTGTGACAGGGAGAGTTCGTAAAGGTAAAAGCAGCGCAATAAGGGTTTTGCATGTGTCCGTGTCTGTACCGTTAGCAAAATATCTGATGAACCACTCAACAGAACTGAATGAAACGTTTCAGAAACTCATCATTGGTTTGACATGTACAACTTAACAGTGCTTGGAGGTAACCAGATGTAACATGGCTGCCACAGCTAAGCGCTATAGGCAGCAAAATGTGGCATATTGGCTTCAAATTTGGTGTGGTAGTAGCTGAGTGTGATTTCCAACTTATACTCTGAGTGCTAATAGATAGTTTGAGATCTGTTTTAAAACGTTGCCGATTATAACTTGACTAAACTGTCTGTTAGCAAAATATTTGATGAACCACTGGATGGATTTTAATGAAACGTTCAAAAAGTAATCAATAGATGTACATTTATAACTGATTAACTTTTGGTGTCAACCCAGTTTAAGATAACTGCCACAACTAGCTGATCCTAGAATATAGAAAAATGTCTGTAACTCTGTCAAATTTACAGAAATTAAGCTAAAATTTGACTTGGTAATAGCTGAGCATCATCCCTAACTTAAACTTTGAGCTTGAAAGATTATGCACAACCATTGCTTGAAACTTTGGCAATTGTTGTTTGAGTTAACCCTGTTTGTCTGTTAGCAAAACATCCCCATTACTGCTTGAAATATTTAAATGAAAAGCCCAGAAAGTAAGTAATGGTTGTAGGTCTGCAACTGATTAACTTTTGGAGTCAACCCAGTTCAAGATGATAACAGCAGATGATTGAAATGTGTGTGCACAAAACTGGCTATACCTCTGGGAATTTTGCAGATATTGAGCTCCAGTTTGTCGTGGTAGTAGCTGAGAGTCATTCATAAAACATACTCTGTGTGCTAATAAATCCTGCAAGATCACATGTTGCATGTACTATTTTCAAGGTTTGACCAAAGTAACTTTAACATGAAAGGTGGCGGGTGATACACAGTCCTTCAAGTAATGTGTGACTATTGGTATAATTTAATGTTTTTCTAATGCCTTCTGTTTTTCATTTTTGATGAAAAATCATCAGAGAATAAAACGTGTCTCATTTGATGGATTATAACTGAAGTTCTTCCTTAAAAAGCGTATATCTCACTTAGTTATTCTTTTAGAAAGAGGAGCCTGGAAAGGCAAAGAAAAATACGGGCTCTTGATTGCAACTAATTAACAAACCGTCCCAGAGTTTAATCATGAAATACATTTTAGTATCATCAACTTTTCTCCGTCCACAGAGGACACTTATTACATTCAGACACTTTCACACTCACTTATTGTTCTCTCTAATTCAGCTTGTGCTCTTTGAAAAGAAATGGTGAAAAAAAAAATATTACAATTTTTTGGCCTAAACTCTGAATTTATGTAAGAATCTTCTTCCAAATGTTCAGGCTGCTGTTAAATACACCATATTATATTAAATTATACTTTATTATTGTTAAACGCAGGCGTTCTCAAACTTTTTAGGTTCGGGGACCCCTTACAGGGGAGAAAAAGTTTCAGGGACCCCCTCATAACCCTCATGTTTATTAAATAATTTTCTTCAGTTTGTCTATTTAATGCAGTGGAAAAAATTGTGTAACATAAAAACTTCAGACCTGTTCTGTTAATACAATTTGTATACTTTTAAACATGGTGTATTTTTCATTCACTACACAGTTAATTAATTTTTTTTTATTTCAACTTCCAAAAATTACACTTTTGAGAAAATTAACACAATAATAATAATAATGAACATAAATGTATCGCCTCTTCTTCATATTATTACATTAAACTCTTTACATAAAAGTGAACAGAATTATAACAGCAGTATAATCATATTAAGTAACAGGGCTGAGTTTGTAAACCGATCGATGCTGGAACACAAATAGCGAGTGGGGTGAAGGTGGTTGTGAGAGGGGGGCGTCTGGGGGTCATCCCCCAGAACATTTTGAATAAAGTAGATGTGATTTCCTGCATTTTGGTGTATTTTAATAGGTTGTTAAACATCTACGTGCTTGTAAAAAACAAACAAGCAAAAAACAAACTTTTTTTTTTTTTTTGGCCAACCCCCAAGCACTGGTTTGCGGACCCCCGTGGGTCCAGGGGGGACCCAGTATGAGAACCACTGGTTCAGCGTACAGTAAATCTTATATCCTTGTATACTGCTTCTTTTTTATAATTTATATTTTTGCTATTTTGGGGTGTAACGGGGACC